AGCATGAATGAATGTTGAATTTTATCAAAGGCCTTTTCTGCATCTGTGGCGATAATCATGTGATTCTTGACCTTGGCTCTGTTGATATGTTGGATTACAGTTATTGACTTACGTATGTTAAACCATCCCTGTGTCTCTGGGATGAAGCCTACCTGGTCATAGTGTATTTTTTTTAATGTGTTTCTGGATTCTGTTAGCTAGAATCTTGTTAAGGATCTTTGCATCTTCACTACCCACATTTAAAAGAAATTTTAAGATAGTTTCCACTTGTTTTGTGCTAAAATCAAAGATAATGAGTAAGTGCATTCACTACGGTAATGGCAACAAAAGCACGGAAGAGTAAGGAAGTAGAGGAAGGAAGGAAAGGATGAGGAAGGAAAGAGAATTGTGTAGTTCATATGTAATACCAGAGGCACTAGGAACTGCAAAGGCGGAATTCCACAGGCAGAAACAAGTTTCTGGTTACAGAACTGCCTTAGGTAGAAAGTGGTACTGAATAGGTGCTTGCTTTTTTTTCTAGACCAGTGCCTTGAGTGGTCCTCTACCTTCCTCTGAGTGTTCATGGTCCACCACACAAGAAAGCTTTTAATGCCTCCTCTGAACTGGGGTATAAGAAAGTGGTGGTGGATGCATCAGATCCCAGGAGTGACTGGGCCATGGTGTGCGGGGTGGAGCATTGGCAGATGGACTCAAGCCGAGTCCATCTTGAGTTTGAGCATCTCTGCATTTCATCTCTTGAGTCTTTCTTTTGAAATTCCTCTTCCCAGACTTCTTACCCACTGGCTGAAACGCCAACTCTGTGAATGGCCTCTTGTCTTGCAATGTCCACAAAGTGCAGGTCCTTCTTTTTGGCCCCACTAGGGTTAGTATTTCATTCTTAGCCACTGACCCAGAGCCACTGACCCACTATTATCAACACAGGGGGCCCGAGGTCCTTGAGAATCAGCTCATGTGGTTCATAGCCAAGAAGTGTGAGGCACTCTTCCCTCCCTTACTTGGCATAGTTTAGGTCTGTCTGTCTGTCTGTCTGTCCCTCTCTCTCTCTCTCTCTCACACACACACACGCACACACACGCACACACAGAGGCAGCTGTGGAAGGTGACTTGCTAGGGTCTGAATGTGTTCCCCGAAGGTTAGTGTGTTAGTGTTGAAGCAGTGGAACTTTTGATAGGTAGATGCTACCGAAAGGTAGTTCACTCATCAGAAGATATTAATACAGTTCTCAGGGGGCCCCAAGTGATTGCTGTGAGACTGAGTCCCGACCCCTGAATCTCTGGCTTCCCATCTTACCGTCCTCCCATGTGCTCTCTCTTCCTCCTCCACATGGACATTTCCCTTTTTTGTTGTTCTCTGCTCTGTGGTATTACAACTAGTCTTTCCTTTGCCAGAGGCCAAATTAGTGGATCCAGTTGACCTTGAACATTCCCAAACAATGGGTGAAATAAACTTCTGTATAAAGTTCACAACCTCAGGTATGTTGATATTGGGACAGAAAGCATACTAATATTGTATAGGCATGTCAATTTGGCATTGGTGATCATACATAAAACATACATGTATACACATACAAATATCAAGGCATCATGTTGTACACCTCAAATACACAAAGTAAAAATAAATAAAAATTTGAAAAGATTCTACAAAATACTTCCCTCCTCTCCCCAGATGGGTAGCCCTTTTTCTAGTATTACCAGAACATATCAATAGGCTGGCTCATAAAATCATTCTAAGTATCACTGATTATACTCCAGACTTCCTCCCACAAACTGTACTAATGGCCTTTTTCAAGATCTTCAGAGTGCTGTCCAGTTAATCTGCGTGGTTCCCTGGAAAGGTAACAGTCAGGCGAGGATAAGAAGTATAGTCCCCCTGAAGGCTGAGGCCACTTGGTGCATTGTGGGAGTGCTACAGTGCTAAGATTGCACTCCACCATACTTGCTCTTATTTCATGAGGGAAAAAAAATACAACAGAATGTCAGAAGCACCAACTAAAAATATTCCATATGCATAAATTTATTTTCAATTTTATTGCCTCACAGTATACAAGCATTAACCATGGCTTCATGTTGATGACTATTTGACTGTGAAAATTAGTCATTCGTGTCAGTACTTTTTGGCTATGTACAAGTCAGGGGTTTCTATGCATTTAATATATCTCTGTAATTGTATGTACATATGTCAGAATACATGACTATACATATGTACACACAGAAATACATCTATGGCCATACACATAGCTATAGATATGTCATATATAATAATCTCCTCAGAAAGATCTGAAATTAAAAAAAAAAGAAAGAAAACATTGTAAACAGGGTCATTTCTGTGTCATTTGGTGATGTGAGAGTTAGGACATGATCACATTCTAAGAATGTATGTCCAGGTGTCCAAATTACCCTTGTTAGCCCAGAGTCTGTAAAATTCACATGGGGTAGAATGCAAAAAAGGTAGCAAACAGGCTGAGAAAACAGGCCCAGTATACAAGTTCCCCCTTGGTTTTAAAAACTGGAGAATGGAACTGCCCAGAAGGTGCATGCTTGTCTTTGTCAAGAATGGTCAATGGATAGATAGCAATTGTGTGCTGGAGGGCAGCAGGTGTCTCAGCAGCAGGGCTCCGCTCCGCCGTCAGTCCTCCACTGGCTGCCGACCTGCCCGGGGCGCTGCCGGTGTCTGTAGCATGCACTGTGGTTGCATTGTTAGTCATTCGTTTAAATGTGCTTTTGCACAGCTGGGAGAAGTAAACAAAAGTCAGGTCCTTGGCCTGAAAATGAACTATTACCTGAAAAGGAAAAAGAATGCATCAAGATCTTGTATACCCGAGCTGGATAAGGAGTGGTTTGTGCTTACCATGTGTTAGAGGGATTCAGACAACGTATAACTCCAAATGGAGTCAGGTATGGTGTGAATATGATTAAGTCTGCTTTGTCGATGAACTGACTGAGTTAGAAAGGCGGTCTCAAGCAACATGACATCTTACCAACTAGTAGGGGATAGAGACATATATGCACGCATGCACATGCACGCGTGCACGCACACACACACACACAGGCACACACACACACACACACGTACACAATGTTTCTGAGCTGACAATGAGAAATGAGAAGAATGCAGTCAGTAATGGTAGAGGTCAGAAGAAACTCCCAGGATGGGTTACTAGCTCTGCCGCCCAGTGCAGCCCATGCCATTCAAGTGCGCCTGCATCTCCACCACTGGAACTCTGAGGGAGCAATATTCTGTGGCAATGCTTGCCTTCTAGCCTACCAAAGCCATGTGGATATAACCAGCCTTTTCCCTCCATGAAATGGCTCAAGCTAGAGATGGGGTGTTTAGAACATTATTAGAATGTTAGGGCCCAGGAGCTTGGGGGCAAAGCAGGCTAAAGCCAGAATGTCTATTCAAGCACTGTCTCCTCCAACTTCTTTACTTTTGCAATGGTGGAAACAGAATCCATGCCACAGATCAGACAGGTAAGAGTGGAAGAGCCAGGTGTAGAACCTGGCAGACTATAACACGACACTTGACAACCATACAAATATCCCAGGTAGTTTTCTACGACACTGTATTGCTCAGCTAATGTCCCAGATCCACTGTCTTCTGTGAGCTTCACGTACATTCTGCCCAATAGGCATATGTTAAGCCATTTTCCCACAGCCACACAGCCACAAATAACAGATCTGAGAAATGGTCAAACTACTAAGTAGGAGAAAACATTTCTCACTTGTAGTGATGTCACATCCTATCTACCTATGTATATCCATGAGGGAATCCATGCAACCCTTGTTTCATTTAATGTAATTTCCCCCAAGTCTTTCCATTTCCGTATGAATTCTACAATATCATTCTTTGTAATAGATGAGTAAAATTCCATTGTGTATATATACCACATTTTCTTTATCCATTCATCTAGTGAGGGACATTTGGGCTGATTCCATATCTTGGCTATGGTGAGTGAGCAGTACGCTAGTGGTTGCAAATGAGTTAACTTAAGTATAATAGACTCTAGGGAAAACTCAAATAGTATAATCTTTTAGAATGACTAGGTCAAAACCCCCAAAAATCATCAGCAGGAAATGGGTACGTGCACTATGGGGGGTGGGAACAGAGGGAAGATGAATGAAAAGGGGAAAGAAGGATGAATGCAGTCATTGCATATACCACAAAATTAAGAAAAGAGAAGGGGTGGGTGGAAGGGGTGTGAGAATATTGAAGGAGTAACACTGATCAAGATGCACTGCATTCATAAACTGCTCCGTCAAATGGACTTTCTTTGTACCACTATTTAAAGATTAAAAACATTTCTTTTAAAGCCTACTTTGGACCCTAGTTGTGGGGCCAAGTGTTAAAAATCTCCCCACCATGGGGCTGGGAAGGTAGCTCAGTGGTAGAGCACTTGCCTTGCATGCACGAGGCCCTGGGTTCAATTCCCCAGCACCACATAAGCAGAAAAAAAAATCTCCCCACCACTTTTATTCCTGCAGGTGTGCTTGTTTGTTATGGTACTGGAGGCTGACCCCAGGGCTGCCTGCACACGAGGCAAGCTCTCCATCACTTCAGCCACACCTTAGCCCCTCCGCTTACATTCTGTGTTTGGGATGAAGTCTTGATCACTTGGCCTGGTTGGTCTCAAACTCCCCATCTTCCTGTTTCCACATCTCAAGTAGCTGGGATTACAGGGCTGCCCTGCCAGGCTTTGATACAATTTCTTTACTTCAAGTTCACCCTCATATCCCATGTGTAAATAATTTCTAGATTTATGAGGGGGCCAGACTGAAACAACTTCACTAACATCGCTAAAGCTATCTGCTACATATTAGTACAGTGAAGGTGAAAACCACTGTTTTACCTTATGCATGTCATTTTTCCCTTTGGAGGCTGACTTTGGAAAATATTTTCACAAGTGTTTTTTTTTCCCCCCAGTACTAGGTTTTGAATTCTTTTGAATGCTTGCAGGCATTTTACTAACAAGTCATCTGCAGCCCTCAAAGTTAATTTTAATCAAGTTACGGAGAGTGAATTAAAGGACCAGAATGATGAAATAATTCCTGTTAATAATTTTAGACTCACAGAGCATCACAACAGAGAACTGATCTGAAAAATTCATCATTGAGGAAACTGAGGCCAAGAGAAGTCTTGTGACTTGCCCAATGCCACACAGTTAGTAACTGACTTACTAGAAAGTTTTAGAACTTTCTAGTAGGATGGGTGGATATATTATGAAGCTTTCTGATAGCCCAACCTCAGTTCATCCAACCTTTATGAATCAAGTGTGCAGGTACTAAGCGCCTCATGTCTAACATGAGGTAGTTGGAGGAATAAAAATTAAAATCTTCACAGAGTGTCCTAAAAAATTCTTACCATTTGGATGCAGAAGCTTGATAACTATTTGAAGATCACAAATTAACACTACCAATTAGAAGCTTTCAGTGTATGTAGTACTGATGATAATAACCAGAAAAGTTTAGGGCGAACCTCAATGAGCTGAGGAGTCTGGGAAAACGTGCTTAGAGGACATGGTGGGGCATGGATCAGCCTGCAAGGCAATAATGAATGAGCGATGTGGAAGGGCCAGGTTACGAGAGAGGAAGAGCTGGCTTCTACCAGAAAGAATGACATGCTGCCCAGGGGACATGAGGAAATGGCCTGACTGGAATGAATAGAAGGGAGAGAAAGGTTTATTTCATCTGGCCAGTTCCTAAGGCCAGTCTAGCACAAAGGCAGAGAAGAATGGCAGGTATGTGGGAAGGGACAATCAAGTTGCAATTGTTGAAGAAACAAAGTGGTTCTGGAAGCTTCTAAGGAGCTTATTTTGATCCCCAGTCCTGGGACAATGGTAAGCTCTGTTCCAGGGCCTTCAGATCAGCACGCTTCACTTACCTGCTCAGGGCCACTCGTTGTGGTGTGCTTTTCCATTTTTCTTCCTCTCCTTCCGTTCTTTCTGGAGGCGCTCCAGTTCTGCCTCATACATCATCTCTTGGATCAAGTACTTCTCTCTTCTCATTCGATCCCTTAGATCTTTTGGGAGGTCTGGGATCAGATAGGAAATGAGGTGCTTTATACAAAACACGAGGTGCTAAAAACACAACAGAGGAGAACACAACACAGTCAGGTCTGTCATCCACCTTCCCTGGAACAAGTTTTGAGGGTGGGTACGAGAACGGGCTGGGCCTTTGGGCTGTGTAGGAAGCAGCTGAAGCTGGGAGGGGGGCAGGGAAGGCACATGATATGACGATGGGTAGTCGAGGATTGAATGTCATCTGAGGTCATGTCATCTAGGGCAGAGGAAGAGGAGCCGGGGGAGAAAGTGAACAGGGAATGCAGAAAGAATTCAAATGAGACTGGGGAGAATTGGTATCATGGAATCAGAAAGCCCATCCTTTGAGCAGAACTCAGCAAGCTGCATGCCTGCCTTCACTCCTACTCTGACCCTCCATTCTCACTGGTAAAATGAGTATCATTTCCAAAATTGTAAGCAAGTGTTCAGACAGGTTTTGTAGATGGCAAGTGCTTTACAAATCTGAATTGAAAGAATTATCAGGCTTATGGAAAAGTCATTTTAGGAAGAAAAGGTTTCCTTTTGGTAAACTTAGCCACCTCTGCTTATTGGTATCTAGTGACCAATAGAATATCGAATAACAATGAGAAGGCCCTTTCTAAAGTATTTACTAAGAATAAAATAATATTCAGCGGCAACAGTATTCTTCCTTTTACTTGAAACTTGGTAATTTGGTGACACATAGATGGCATACAATTCTGCAGATTGAGAGACTTTTGCATGTATTTATAGTTACATATATCTATATACACACACATACCCATATATATATATATATATATATTATAGCAACAAGGTACTAAAAGGAAATGGAAACTTCTAAGCCAAATAATACCTTAATGTGACTAATGTGACCCCCTTTCCATTTTGCCTGAAAAATTTTAAGAGTGTTATGTTAAAAAAAACTTCTTTAAAGGGGAACTCATTCTCAGGAATGAGCAGCTTAATGAGTCTCTGAATATTAAGAAATTTCTCATCTAACCCAATAGGCTTCTTCAGCTTGTCTTAATGTGGCTCTAGCCACAGGACAAGAGATAGACTTCACATTTATGATGAATGTGAGAAGTGAAAACTACTTTTATTATCAATTTTCTAAAAGACTGAAAAGAAATAGATGGTAGATTTTATTGATGCATAACAGAAACAGTTGCTAGGTACCTTTCATGTCTATTTAGAGTCTTAGGTAATGCACGTATACTGTGTACTTGGATAAATGTGGCAAACATTATGGTACAGAAATCAGAGGTACAACTTGGAAAACCCTAGACCAATGTTTTCTAGACTGTCGTGCTTGAACATCTGACTCAGAACCATTTGGATGGGCTTGGTCAAAGCCACATCTCCAATAAGATAAATCAGCATCTATGGGAGTGGGAATGAGACACTCCACAACTCTTGAATATTGGACTTTGGACCAATCATTCTTGACTTGCTCGTTAACCGTCAATTATAGATTTCTAAATATTAATTGAAAAACTCAAATACTTGAATTCAGGGGAAAAAGAGGTTTCTTAATGTAACTAGGTCACTTTTGGAAGAAGGTAAGGACATTGAAAGTTCCCATCGTTATTCTTCATGACTTCAGTATGCCAAAGAACATTAAGGAATTGGTTGAGAAAACTGACCTCAAACACAATGATGAAAGCCAGCCGGGCGGCCAGGACATGCCAGAACTGCAGTGTGTAGCCATAGGGCACCAGCGAGTGAGGAGGGTCCCGGTAATCTCGGTATCTATAAAGACACAGGAGAGTGTTGCACTCCAAACTAGGATTTTTGTGATCCTCAAATCTCTCCCATTCTTATGACATGGTCTTCATTTATGGGACCAATGTTTGTAAAGTTTTACTATCAACTGCTTGCTCCTCTAGCCAGCCTCTCCTTCTCTCTACTTCTCTCCCTCCCTTTCTCTCTCCCTCCTTCCCTCTCTCTCTCCCCCTTTCTCCCTCCCCCCTGCCTCTCTCTTGCTGGTTCTGGTGCTTGAACTCAGGACCTGGGTGCTGTCCTTGAGCCTCTTTGTGCTCAAGGATAACGTTCTACCATTTCAGCCACAGTGCTACTCCTGGCATTTTCTGAGTAGTTTACTGGAAATAATTGTCTCATGGACTTTTCTGCCTGTACTGGCTCGGAACTGCTGTCCTTAGCTATCAACCTCCTGAGTAGCTAGGGTTACATGTGTGAGTCACTGGTGCCAAGTTTCCAGCATTTCTTTTTTTTATGGTAAAAGAATATCCTATCTGTTCTGCTCTGGGGAATCTTCCATAGAAGTTGAACAGAACTCACCCTTCCTCTGACTTGAGCTCAAAACTGGCTCAGCAAAATGCATCAACAAAGATATATGCTAAAACAATTACTAATGAAGTATTACTATGCCAACAGAAGGTAAAGGCCTCAAACTTCTGGCATATCAAAACTGTAGGGATACTAAGTTATGCAAACAGCCCAGATGAGTGAATCCAAAAAGTTTGGTTAAGTGAGGTAAGCCAAGCTCAGAGAGACTAATGGCATATGTTTTCTCTCATATGTGGAAGCTAGATATAAAATACACTGGGATATGATAAATGATATAGTACTCTAGGCACTCACTCACACAGTGAGACCCAAGGAGGAAACTCAGGCGAGGAACACAAAGATGCAATGTCTATGCGCATCTGACCATATAAAATAATATTTATCGAAATGGAACTCCAGGAAATGGAAACAAGAGAGGTTTTCTTTGCAGCTATTTTTGTTTTGTTTTTGTCTTTTGTTCATTGATCTGTGTTTGGGAGGGTAAGAGAACACAGAAATGGAGTGACAAAGGGTAAAGCAATGTAACAGTAGTACTCACAGTTCACTATATTGAAACTCAACTATACAACTTGTGGGTGGGGATGGCAGAAAAACTGGGAGAGAGTGAGGGAAGGGGTGACATTGTTCAAAAAGGAAGGTATGCATTATCTGACTTATGTAACCTCTCTGCAAATCTTTATAATACTATTTTTTAAAGCTAAAAATACTGGGCAGAGCGAGAGAGAAAAAGAGAGAGAGAGGGAGAGAAAGAGAGAGAGAGGGAGAGAAAGAGAGAGAGAGGGAAAGAGAGAAAGAGATAGAGAGGGAGAAAACTATTTTACAATGGAGTCAGTAGAACAAAACAAGAGCCAGCAAAGAGGCAGGGTCCTCCTGAGCCAGCATGTGTTGGCATTCAAGTATTGCTTGGTGTTGGTGTTGAATTCAGGGCTTGGGTGCTGTCCCTGAGCTCTTTTGTTCAATGCTAGCACTCTACTACTTTATGCCACAGTGATATTTCTGGTTTTCTGGTGGTTAATTGGAGATAAGAGTTTCACAGACTTCCTGCCTGGTTGGCTGCTTTGAACCAGCACCTGGCGCGCGCACGCGTGCGTGCGTGTGTGTGTGTGTGTGTACTGGAGTTTGAACTTACACTTGATATGCTAACACTTTACTGCTGATCCATGCCTGTAGCCATTCTTTTTGCTAGTTATTTTTGAGATAGATCCTCACTGTTTAAAATGATTATTTTTAAGTAGTTTTACAAAGAAATTCCCATTCTACAAAACAGTATATGAATACAAGGTGTCTGACAACATTGCCTCACTTCTTACTCAGGCACATACCTGGCTACAATCTTCCAGATCTAGTTGGGATGATGTACCACTAGGGCCAGCTTCTTTCCATTGAGATGGAGTCTCACAGACTTTTGTGCCCAGAATATTCTATAACCAAAATCCTCCCTATCTCAGCCTTCCAGCTAGCTTAGGATGACATGTATGTGCCACTTGATGTCTAGCTATAGATTGAGAAGGTAGTAGTTTTCTGAACTGCATTTCTGCCACTTGTAGAAACTAAAGAGTTCTTCCTAATGTCAAGATCAAATTCTGCATGTCTGTTGAGCACCTACTTGGGGTGAAGGGATGATCTGGAAACTTTAATCCATGTGATTACCGATGCGATTACCCTTTCCCTGTCACAGGTAAAAAAACTGAAAACTGACATCTTAATGTCAACGTTTCCCAGCGCTCAAACCCTGTGCTCTTTTTCATTCATTTCAGAAATTTAGAACACTCTGGAAATATTAATGATTTGAATAGTTCTGTACTGTAGATATACTGTGTCTGCATAAAAAGTTTATGATAATTCAGATTTTGTATATAAAGATATCATCAGTGATCAACACAGATTTACATATAATGAAAAAGCAGAATAATCTCCTGTGAAGAATAACTTAGAGACATATCAGTTACTATGAAAAATATGAGCTGTCACCATTACCATCACCACCGTCTCCATCTTCATTATTATTAATTACTCTATGGATATGTAGTAATAATATATCATGATTACTTTGTCATTAGAGTGATAAATACCTGGTGCTGAAATTAACTGCATTTATTAGTGCCTTCAAACTGCTGGCACTCCCTGTGGTGATAAGGATGAAAAGAGCATCTAAAGCACTGTTCTCGCTATTCTGTGCTTCATTTTCCCCATTGCAGGTTCAATTACTACGCATTGACTTTTAGGAAGAAGAATGTTCAGGAACATAAGTTCACACGGCTTACTCTGCCCTCTGATGACTTTCTGTAAAGTGGAGCTACTTAGTAAGTTTTCTGCAATTAAGTTAAGAAATGGCATCCCTTTGTTCATGTCTAGATACCTGTATTTCAGAAATATTCCAAGTAAGGATTTCATAATGGTAGAAAGATACTTTTGTTCTCTCTATATATATCTGATTTTTAGTCAGTGGTATGTTTATAAAAATATACAAACTGACCCCAGTTTCCAGTCACCCTCAGTGGAGCCATAAACTTTTATTATTATTATCTGTTTGTTTTTATTATTTATCTTTAAGTACAAAGGGGTTTCAATTTAACATGTCAGTTTGTGAGTACAAAGCACCTTGATCAATGTCACGCCTTCCCTCATTCTCTCCTGTCTTTCTAACTCCACTCATCCCTTCAATGTACCTGGCTCCATCTTCACATGTGTACATTCAATATTAATTACTCCACTCACCCACCTTTCCTTGCTCTAGTCATTTTCCCCTTCTCTGAAACCTCAAGGTCCAACCTCCTGGTACTCACTTTGTTAGAATGTAACTTAGTTGTTCAGTGACTCCTTAAACTTTTTATACAACAGTGTTGACTACCACTAAAAATTCCTTTTTGGGAAGTTTTCCCTGTTAATAAAAATACAAGTAGAGGTGTGGTATAAGTAGTAGAGCAACAACCCTGAGCAAAAAAGCCAAGAGAGAGCACTAGGCCCTGAGTTCAAGCTCCAATACTGGCATAATCAATCAATCAATCAAAAATCAATCAATTAGGGTCTGCATCTAAAATTTGTACTCTAATTCTTTTCTTTTATGGGCTTGCAGAATATAGTTGCAAGTGCTCTGAATTTTTGTTTCAGCTTACCCATGACCCCACTGGTGTGTTTCTATTAGACAGAGTATGGAAAAAAGCTGTGTTCAAACATAAGTTGCCCTCTAATGTGTGTGTGTGTGTGTGTGTGTGTGTGTGTGTGTGAGAGAGAGAGAGAGAGAGAGAGAGAGAAAGAGAGAGAGAGAGAGAGAGAGAATATAGGGACTCTAACATGCTAAGTACTTGTCTCATGTACTCTATGATTGTTCTCCATTTCCAGCCCTGTTTCTCAGCTTTTGGTGTGGCCAATTTATTTATTTGCAAAGCAACCAGCTGCCTGTGCTCTGACTTCCTTCTGTCTCTGTGCAAACATGAGGCCCAGTTTCAAAGCGAAGAAAATCAAAGTTTTACTTCTCTAACCTTAAAAGATGGCATTAAGTAGTCAAATGGCATTAATATTATTTAATTTAATGTTAATACTAACATTTGGAGGAGAGATTGCTAAGTGATTCAGTTGTTTTTAGAAAATGATACTTCAATTTTATAATGTAGGAAGATGGAAAATTTCCTCTGGGCCTAAGTAATGCATTTCATCTATTTCCCAAGGAATGGATGACTCACTGGCTTGAATAAACATTGTTTTCCTAGCATAAGAGGGGGTTATTCTTTTGAAAGAAAAAACAAATCCTTGTGGACTTTCCATCCAAGATGAAACACAGAATATTAGAGGTAACTATTTTGTAATTTTTCAACTACCCTGAGAGGTAACTATATTCTAATTTTTGTGATAATGATTCTTTTGTTTTTCTCTATAGTTTCATTCCTGCACACATTTTCCTAAGTAGAAGACTTACTTTTTCTGCTTTGGACTGTTTGTAGATGGAACCATAGTACATGATTTTTTCTGTGTTTGGAGTTCTCAATTCTGTCCCATTTTCTATTTACCTGCAATACCACCACACTAATTATTCACTGAAATTTCATACTCTGTCATAATGTAAGATGAATCTCATATCCTCAAAAGTGTCCTGGCTATTCTTCATCCTTTGCTTCTTTATTTAACATTATTTTGGCCCTCAAGGGCACAGAATTGGCCTTCTCATAATTCTGGATTTGTAACTAACCTTACTGACCCAGTTATGGTCCTCTTTTAACTAATTTTATTTGAAACTTCTTCAGTGTTTCTGTTTTATTTCATTCCCTACTTCCCCTTGATGAATTTCATTTTTTATCATTTTACTATAAAGCACAGTGAAGATTGAGAAGCACTGCTTTAACTCAGCTGTAAGGAGCTGTCAGGGTACACAACCCCTTTGCTAGAGCCAGTACCTGCAGTACTTGAGAGGAGTCCCTGAGAACTCACTGCCATCAGACTCAGGCTCAGACCGGTTCTCGAAGTCAGAAATCCGAAATACAGACAAGCTGGCATTCACATAGCCAACCATGCACCTAGGAGAGAATACAGATTCTATAATTAGATCCTGAGTCAGCTTTTCTGCATCCACTTTCATTACTTCCTAGAAGACCCAACTTCCTAGAATTCTCTACAATTCCAAGTGCCTTGTCTTGTCACAGGAACTTGAAAGCCATAGGCATTCGGAATCAGGAACAAGTTACTTCTTTGTTCTAGTCTGTCCGGTTCAAAATTATCATCAGTACTCCAGTCAATGCTTCAGTGAAACAGGTAAATGACAGCATCATGTGATCATACACACGAACACATAGATACACACACATATATACACATACTTACTCTCACTCGTCAATATTCATTAAACTTGAAGAAATTCAAAATGGCATGAATATGATTAGTGTGACTCTGATGTTTCTTATCTCACATCTCATGCTACATGTGATATATGAGTACACCTTTTTTTGGTCTCTCTAGACTGACTTTTCTATTGGAATTTCTTACTCCTTTCTCAGTGATGGGTTTGACTATGCAATGTCTTCCACAGGCTCAGGTTTTAAAGCCTAGGTTCCCAAATGATGGGGTATTTTGCAAGGTTCTGGAAACCTTAGAAGTTAGGACATCACTGGAGGAAGTAGGTATCTGGGGGGAGGTGCTTAGAGGTTGTCTTGTGCTTGGTCCCTTCTTGTGTCTGCTTGTCCTCCAGGAAGTGTCTCTGCCACACATTCCTGTTGCCAGGCCATTTTTCCTTCCTTACTTCAGGCCCAGGAACATAGTGCCAAGACTGTGGGCTGAACCCTTGGAAAAGGAGGACCAGAATAAATCTCTCCTCCTCTAAATTGCTTCTGTCAGGTATTTGGTCACAGAAAAGATTAAAAATAGCTAACATATGAGTAAGCAATGCTACTAATCCACTCCTGAAAAAATACCCTAATCCCCCAGTCAGCACAACTCTCCTCCTTCTCTTCTTTCTCTGAAGCACTGAGGCACTTAGTTTACAATTACCACATGACTTGTACAAGTGTTGGCTATATATGTGTACGTCTTCTCTTTCAGACTGTGGATTTTGAGCAGCAGAACTAGTGTCTTACATATTCTTTTATCCTAGGACCTAGCAAAATCCCACTTAGTGAAAGGAACCCAGTAATCATGCAATTCAATTGATGTGACTGGAGAGAAACTAAACACTGCCTATTGATCCTTCTCAATTGAATGGGTAAGAGAACCAATGAGTCTATTGATCATTCTAGTAATATTTGCATTTATGAAATAGCAGTTTTTAAAAGTTTATGTGTAAGAAAAGTCTATGTCTCAGAAATCTCTTATATCTTTGAAAACTATCTTGTAGCCTGGCATGGTGACTCATGCCTAAAATCCCAGCTGTTTGAGAGGCTTAAGTAGGAAGTCTATGGTCCAAGGCTGGCCTGAGCCATAGGCTAGAAAAATACCTAGAGCAAAAAGAATTCTGTGGCTCAAGTGGTAAAGGATTTGCTCAGAAATGTGAGGTCTTGAGTTCAAACCCCAGTACACCTACCCACACCCCCTGCAAAGAAAGTTGTTTCAAGTCTAAACACATTCTTTTACTGAAATAACAATGTATGAAAACTTGATGGGCATAAACGTAATACTCTCATAGACATCTTTATTTTTTGGTCAGTTATGGGGCTTGAACTCTGGGCCTGGGCACTGTCTCTGAGCTCTTCAGCTCAAGGCTAGTGCTCTATCACTTGAGCCACAGCGCCACTTCTGGTTTTTTGGTGGGTAACTGGAGATGAGAGTCTCACGGACATTCCCCAGGCTGGCTTTGAACCGTGATCCTCAGATTTCAGCCTCATGAGCCAGTGAGCCACTGGTGCCCAGCAATCATAGATACCTTTTAACATATGCCTTTAAACAGTGCTTGATATTCAGGACATTGTCTTGTGAATGGACCAGGAATAACACAATTTCCTGGACTCCCCAGTAATAACAGGTTTCTTGAGGATGTGGCTTTCTTCCCATTCTGTACTGGCAGGCAGTGCATTATAATACTAAAAGTTTGTCTGTGGGATCAAATGTTACCTCTGCTCCTTTATAGTCATATAATCTTGACAAGTTATGCAACTTTGTGTATGTGTGCATTGCTCGAGATTGAACTTAGCCTGCTAGACAAGCTGTTTTAACACTGACTTATCTACCTATTCCTATATAATTTTTTTCCAGTGCTGAGGGTTGAACTCAGGGCCTTGAGCAGTGTTTTACCTTCTGAGGTATATCCCCAGTCCTTTTAAGGCAGGGTCCTGCTCTGACTTTGTGTGGGCTGGTCTTGAACAGTGTCTGCCTCTTGAGTAGCTGTCTTGTTCTTGAAATAAGGTCTATCTAACTTTGCTTAGGCTAGCTTTGAACTCTGACCTTCCTGTTTCTGTATGCTAAGTAGCTGGGATTACAAATATGTGCCACCATATTGCCAGTTCCATGTAACTGGGTCCCCCCATCGTGTTATCATGGGGATATATGTACAGCATGAAATACCAGGCTTAACCTATAACAAGATAAATGTGAGCAATGATTATTCATTTATTTTGTATCTAGCAGGAAGGGAATACATAATTATTATTGAATGGATTTATGACTCTTCAGATACTCTTCAGTGTGTCTGATATGATTATACTGAGTTGCTGAACTTTAAAGTCAAGACCCAAACAGTTCTGAGAGCACATTGGTTAGGTGTATTGTTTAGTTTAAGAGAAATCACTGACTTTATCACAGCCTTAAAAAAATGAGGCAGACCGAAAGGCCCATTTGTTATTGATTTACCCTCTTTATTCCCATTGGGGAATACAAATGGCCAGTGGGTATGTAACATGCCTTAATCCTTGGCTACCTCTCCTTGAAAGGGCAGTTTGGAGTGATGGCTCTCTCATCCATAAACTTGATGTGAAAACACATCAACTTCTTGATGATTATTAGTTGTCACTGAAGGAGAGCTAGTTGTGAAACACAGAATCTACCAACCTTCTCAGGAGCTGAGCAGTGGGAAATAGATGGTGCTTTGGAAAGGGCAAAACCCAGGCCCAAGAGTGAAATGGAATATTTCTGCACTCTTATCTCCCAAAATGGGCCTAGTGCATGGTGGAGATTAAAGTTGCTATCTACTGGTTCTCTGTTGAAAAACTCCATTGATAGCATCTAAATTCAAGTAAGACACCTATTTTATGGACAATATCTGTCATTCTCTATCCCACAAAATAAAGGGGACCAATCTGTGAATCTGTTGATGAAGTATCCACATATAATGCCAATCACACATCCCTGTGGAAAACATGTCTTTAATGTCTGGTTATTACTTGGGGGGGGTGCAAAGCATGGAATATGGACGTAAGGTTCTCATATTCTCTCCATCTCATTTTCAATCATCATAGGAGAAGAAGAGCTATTAATACTGAACATTCTAGACCTTTCCTGAGTCCCTTTCACCACAGTAGAATCTCAGCTACTGCCAATGTCGAATAGTTGAGGCTGTGGTGAATTCCAGGAAGTGAGATTTCCCATACTTTTTTTTTTTTGGATCCGGTCGTGGGGCCTGAACTCTGGGCCTGGGCGCTGTCCCTCAGCTCTTCGGCTCAAGGCTAGTGCTCTACCACTTGAGCCACAGCGCCACTTCTGGCTTTTTTCTTTTTGCTTATATGGTGCTGAGGAATCGAACCCAGGGCCTCTGGCATACAAGGCAAGCGCTCTACCACTGAGCCACCTTCCCAGCCCCAGATTTCGCATACGTTTGAGGAAAGTATATAGTTGAGCCAGTGGTGTCCATGTGCCAGCTCACCAACCTCTTGCCATAGCTGGACAGCCACAGACAGCAGCAGAAACCATATGGCCTCTGTGTGCATTTCTGAAAAAGGCATAGCTGTGGTTGCATTAGGAAGCAACACGCTTTCAAGAAGCCTCACAGGTCTCTGGATTTCAGATCAATCTCACCAGATCATGTCTTTGAATTGGCCTTTGAGGTTTTAGATATTGAGATATCGACAGCCTAGGAATAGGAACCAGAATTTGCAAAAGCTAGGGGCAATTAGGAAGATGAGGTGTGTGTGTGTGTGTGTGTGTTAAAGTCAAATCTGCTTTCTAAGTGAAGCTTCTCAGGCTGAGGAGGGAGGATAGAAGAAAGGGGACTTCTCACTTGTTGCAGTAAAGATGTCAGGTACTTGCATAAGACACTATATTGAAAATGAACTTTACAACTTCAGAGGGGGTGGGGAGGGAGGAGTTGGGGAGGTGGAAAGGGAAGGGATGGAAGGGAAAAACAAAGGAGGGGATAACAATGCTCGATAGGAAATGGACTCATTACCTTGCTCATGTAACTGTAACCCCTTTGTACACTATCTGTACAATAAGATATACATATTAAAAAATAAAAAATATGAGTAAGATGAGAATGATCATTCAGGGCTTAGCCTTCTAAGTAGCTAGGGTTATATAGCTGTGAGCCACTGGGACCTGGTTAGGATCATTTGCTTTGATTCATGTCACTATCCAAGGATATCTTTTAACGTATATACTTCATGATAATTGTAAGGCCATTATGTATCTTTATAAAATGTTTTGAAAAACCAGTCCATGGCTTTCTGACAACACAGTCATTTTGTCTGTTTAGTGGCAAGGGTTGGGGGCGGGGGAAGGGAATTGACCTGGTTACTATATATTGTCTAGGAATATTTTTAGTTGGTCAATTGCATTGTAGCACTAACAATACCACTTGATCCATGCTCCTAGTCCTTTATAAAATATTTGTGTTGGTTTTTCCCCAAGATAAGGTCTTGGGTTTTTGGTTGGGCTGGTCTTGGGACAAGGATCTTCTTGTCTCTGCTTTCCAGGTAACTGGGATTAAAGTTATGTCCCATCCATATAGCTCATTAGCATTTTAACTGTGAAGAACTATTTTATAATACACATCTTTGGGATTACTTCATAGTTTTTGTGTCTGGATGCATGTTCAGAGCCCTGTATACTCCTTTCCAAAGGATTCATGTGAAGGCACCCCATGAGTGGAGGTAACTTCATCTTGCTAACAGTGAGCAGCGTGAATGAACTTCAAGACTTGGCCCAGCTAAGCTGAAGCCAGTAAGAAGGAAGACATCCAGAGGAAAGAAAAAAAAGTCAAAAAGTTCTAGCGCACCCAGTGTTTAGAGAACACTGCCTCTAAACATCTGTAACTTCAGACCTAGCTAGATGGTCTTTCCACCATGCCACTGTAGCTTTGATTGTCAAGGATCTAAGCCAAATGGGCTGTGCCTGGAATGTACAGGAATGAAAGATGTGGTCCCCTGCTCTCAAGCAGTGTACAACGTGGCCAGGGACGCAACCCGTAGGGCAGGAAGGAGCAACGCTTTCTCATAAGGACAAGGGAGCATGTGAACCAAAGGATGCAGGACATATGAATGAAATTCTCACTCATGGAGAAGCCAGGGAAGGCTTAAAGAAGAGCAATGAGGGAATGCAGATGTGAGCTAGAGCTTTGGAGAGAGACAAGGTAACTGACTTCCATGGAGCACTTCTGCATTAGGTTCAATTTAAACAGAAGAATGGCATCACCACAGCTGGATTCAGTTCGAAGGAGGAGTTCACTACAGCTACACATCTTATTTCCCAAGCCTGTGGCTTTCTAAAATTCAACGCTTCTGCTACCCTCTAAGTTCAATCATTGCAAAAGCATTTTTAAATTGGAAAAAGAAAAAGGAGGCAATAGAGGGAGGAAAAAAATGTAAAAGTAATAGCATGGCTGCTAGGGTAGAAAATAAGATTCATGAAGAAATATATATATATATATTTTAACACACAGAAAAATGACCAGTGGATTAAAAGACAGAGACAGAACCATACACTGAAAGTGAAAGCGAATTCAAAGGGACAGGTTTGCAAAGAAAATTGTAGGGTGCCAGTGGCTCACCCATGTAATACTAGCTACTCAGGAAACTGGTATCTGAGGATCATGGTAAAGCCAGCCTAGGCAGGAAAAGCCTTAAGAATTTTACCTCCAATTAACTACCAAAGAGCCAGAAGTGGAACTGTGGCTCAAATGGTAGAATGCTAGTACGGAGCAAAAAAGATAAGGGACTGTACCCAGGCCCTGAGTTCAAGTCCCTTGAATGGCACAGAAAAAGAGGGGAAAAGAGACTTCTAAAAGGCAGGGTCTATGTATTGAGTTCAAGCCCTAGTACAAACACCCAAAATAAATTAATAAAATACCATACATAATTTTAAAAAACCCTAGGAAGTACAGCTGAGTTAAGGAGGTTATAAGATAAAATTTAATCTCCACTTGTTGGCAAGCCACAGGACCCTGTGGCACTGATGAACTAGATATCAGAGCAGTTTCGTCTCTGTGTGTGCCAACTGTGTCTCTGGAATTGACTTCTCTTAACCTTTTACTGTCCTCAAAGTGATGGTAGTAATGTGTGTCTCCTTCCCAGAGTTGTGTTGAGGAGAAATGTAAAACATACGTGAAAGTAGCTTGTTTTTTTTTTTAACCCATTATCTTTAAGTAGTTGTACGAGGAGGTGCCCTATAACAAAGCAGTTGTGAATACAATGCGTCTTGATTAGTGTCACCTCCTTTGATAGTCTCACCCCTTCCCCTACTTTTCTTAATTTTGTGGTGCATACAGTGAATTCTTGATGGCATTCTTCCCGTTTCCCCACTTCATTCATCTTCCTCTCTCCCCTTGGCCCCAACCCCCCTTCTTGGATGTACCCATTTCCATTTCCTGGTGTTGACTTCGTTGGGCTTTGATCTAAGTATAATAGACTTTACTGAGCGCTTAAATAGTATCTTTTAGAAAGATTAGGTTTAGTTTTTTTTTTAAGTCTACGCCCAAAAGAGAATGTTGACTGTAGTTACAATGAGAAAGAAATGCCTAAGTAGTACAATCTAAGACTTAAATCTCTAAAATGGAATGACATACTCACTTGAAGTTCCTAGAGAATTAGTGTCAAATAGCCACAGGGTTCTTGTCATAAAGAACTTCATAGAAACATCTTCAACTAATTGGATTGTGAGCTGTATCACACTCCTAAACAATCTGAGCCTTAGTGCACTTATGTTAGATTAATAGTGGAATTGGATCCAGGCCAGGTTTGCTTAATTCAATTGACTTGGTTTAGTGGTACTTTATTCTTTAGGCTCATTGAACTACAAAGGCTATAGATGACGTTGGCTCAGGATAGTAAACCAGGAGGCAAGACTGCTGATACTAGGCAGCAGCCCTGAGAGACAATCATGCATCAAGAAATGAGATCTCCAACTCTATCTGACCTACACACTTCAAAGTCCTGTAATTACGGTTAGATTACTATTTTGACTTTACAGATTTTTAAAATATTTGAAGACCCCTTCCTCCTCTCTCTCCTCTCTGCTTCTCCTTCCCCCTTCCCCTCCCCTTCTCCTTCTCCCATGCTGATGATACTGGGGTTTCTTGAACTCAGGGCCTGGGTACCAACCCTTGGCTTTTTTTTTTTTTGTTACTGAAGGCTGGTGTTCTATTGCTTGAGTCATACCTCCACTTCCAACTTTTTGCTGGCTCATTGGAGATAAGAGTCTCATGGATTTGTCTGTCCAGCCAGGCTTCGATGCACAATTCTCAGATCTCAGACTCCTGAGTAGCTAGGATTATAGACATGAGCCACCAGTGCCTAATTTAAAATACTTGTACACTTCTTGTCTTGTTCTCCAAGTCTAAAAGTAAAAGCTAGATGGAATATGTCACAATACTGCCTGGCCCTTATCTGATTACATCTACATAGTGCCCTGGTTAGGGGAATATAGAGTTATGCCTTAGTTTGACTGGGAAAATACAGACATTGCTTAGGATAAATCGAGGGGAAAATCACCACAAATATTTATTGAATGCTTACTGGATTCTAGGTACATGATTCCATTATTTCCCATATAAAAATTTCAGTCTACATATATTGACCCAATGTGAATCAGAAAATGTGTCCTTTGACAAACTCCTCACAATGGTGTAACTACATAGTGTTACTCTTACTGTTATACACATTAGTAGACCACATGTTTCTGATTATAGAGGGCAGAGACAAGAGGAAAAACAATTACTATTCTCACATTAAATTCCACCGAAAACCCGTCAGGCGTGTTTGATCTCAAGCCTTCAGGAGAATGAGATGTGTCTTCTTTGGCTACAAGTGTAATTACCTCATCGTTCCACCTCCCTCCCACAGACCTTCTTGTCTGGGCTTGTGTGTCACATGCCTCAGAACAAAGGCTTCTCTCCTAGTGCCCAATACCACACCATGACTAGGGAATGGAGACTTCATAACAGTGTCACAGAACACTTACTTCTGTCCAGCTTCTCCTTGGCCTGCACATGGTCCATACTTATAAGCATACACCAAGCGAGGAATAAAGTCTGACGTGATTGCGATGACAAATGCATTGGTAATAACAGAGAGAATCCCAATGCCTTCAAGAATTCCATACCAAATTCCTATTCAAATAGAAGTGTGGCATTAGTTCCATGCATAGCATCTGAGCAAATGAGAATGAAAGCAACACAGGTCATTCATTTTCAATCATCGTTTCTACAGGTTCCTTACATCTAGCTTTCCAAATACTGACTCTTGCAGCCAGGATTAAGAATTTGTGCTTCTGGATACCTTGGCATTAAAGGGCTTCTTGTGGCAGGGCCAGGGTGCTCCTGATTTCCTTCAGGATCAGACACAAGTCAGAGAAACAGGGTCATTGGTCACACAGAACATTCAGCCACCATTAGACCAGAAACACTTTAAGGGTATGATCAGGGTCACTCCTAATTATCCTTGTGGGCCCAGACTCTGGTGCACTGGTCCAGAACAGGTGATCACTGATAGGGCTTGTTCTGAATGACAGTTGAAAGACACCAGCCAGCAAGGGCATCTATACTGGATTCTCTTCCATGAGTACTGGCTGAGGGCCTGTCTGCTCTGCACAAGAGGCAGACATGAATGGAGGATGGTCCCTGATCTCAGGCAGCTCTTAAGAAGACTGTGTCTAGAAGTGGCGCTGTAGAACGCTAGCCTTGAGCTGAAGAGCTGAGGGACAGCGCCCAGACCCAGAGTTCAAGCCCCACAACCGACAAAAAAAAAAAAAAAAAAAAAGAAGACGACTGTGTCTGACTCTATCTGCATCTCTGGTCAAGACCAAAGGCCATCTCTGCTGTTAGAGAATCTCAGTGATATTTCATGTGAATCTGAAAAAAATATTTAGGAAAGTGCAAAATAAAAAAGTTAAGCAAAGGGAAGAACCATTGGATTTTATTTAATAATTGATGGACTGAAGTATTGGGGCATATTCCTGTTGCTCTATTGCTAGAGCTAGGCCCCCAGACCTTTTTGTTTTTAGTGTTTTTGTGATAGAGTCTCATGCTTTTTTTTTTTTCTGCATCAGTTGTTAAGGAGAGATTGTTCTACCTTTGCCTCTCTAGTGGCCAGGCTTACATTTTACAGCTATGCATCTCCATACCTGGTCCAGAAGATTTCCCTTCCTCCTTCCCTTTCTCCTCTTTTTTTCCCTCTCCCCTTCCCACCTTCTTTCCTGCCTGCCTGCCTTCCCTCCTCCCTCTCTCCCTTCTTTCACTCTTTCTTTCTTCCTTCTTCCATTCTTTCTTTCTTCCCCTCATCCTTCATTCCTTCCTTCCTCCCTCCTTACCTCCCACCCTCCCTCTGACTACTCTCCTTCCCACTTCTTTCTTTCTCATATTAGGGTTTGAATCAGGGCCTTGTGCTTATTAAGCAAATGCTCTACTATCTGAGCCATTCCTCTAGCCCTATTTTGAAGCTATAATGAACTAGTACTTTCAATTTTATAGTTTTAAGATAAAAGTAACCAAATTGAGAATCAATGTATAAATTATGCTAGAAATTATGTTTCTAAATAGCTTTACTTCTTGTGTATTATTTCAAAATGAACATAATTATTCATTGCAAAAAATCAATTGAATCATCTAACTTGGGAACCATAAGAAAGTTGGTGGCTTTTGAATCTCTTCTCCCCAGATGGTTAATATTGGTATGCTTGAGTAAAACAAATCGAGTTCTAGCTTACCTATGTCTTTGGCCCTTGAAGCTAAAGGTCTCCTCCACTGTGTGACAAACTTGTAAGCATCAAGTCGGATTTCAATTATGTTATTCAGTAAGGCCAGAAGTGGCGCTAGAGGAAAAGCTGCCACAAAGATAGTTGTAAATCCAAACTGAAGAACTAGGGAAGAAGAGGGAGGAGAATGAAGAGCATTGTCTTAATTTATACTTCTCCCACTACAGAAGTACAGGGGGCTATCTCTTCCAGAAAGATGACCATGACATTGGACACAGAAATTCTTCCCAGGTCTGGAAACAATGGCAGCCTGGGAGCAGGGAGTAGACTTTGAACCCAGGTCTTTTCAAAATACCATTTTCTAATGGAAAGAAACAAAGCTCCTTAGCAAAAAGTTTGATCCTAGAGTTGTGATAGAAAAAAAAAATAAAAGATGAGAATGGAATTTCTTGTGTCTGTAGAAAGCAAAGAAACACCCGAGAAATGAAGGGGCTACTCAGAAGGCTCTAATCTGAGGATCAGGGTTTGAAGCCACCCTGAGCAGAAAAGACTATGAAATTCTTAGGTCCAATCAGCCACCACCAAAAACAAAACAAAAAGCTGGAATGAGAGCTGTGGCTCAAGTGGTAGAGTACCAGCCTTGAGTAAAACAGCTAAGGAACAGTGCTCACACCCTAGGACTGGTGCACGCACGCGCGCGCGCACACACACACACACACACACACACATGTGTGCGCATGAAGTAAACACATTAATAGGACACAGGATGAATTTGCAATTAGATTATAATATTTAGTCTCTAAGTCCACATTGACATAAATATGGATATAAGTACACATGGACACAAATATATAGTAATTACATGTAGATAAAATGTGGCTCTACCTCATGGTAGTTTTCTAATTCATAACATAAAAGGGATGATGACAGAAGAAAATCATCATTGAACAAACTCTACAGTAATACTGTTGAAAGGCTGGGAGAGAAATCACAGACAAATGCTAAAGCTAGTAGGCAGAGGAATACTGAAGAAAATTGGAATTTTGTATATTTTCTATTCTTTTTTTGTGGTGCAGTATTGAGGTTTGCCTTCAGGGCCTGTGCTTGCCTGTCAAGGGTTCTGTTACTTAACCCATGCTTCAAGCCCATTTTCCCTCTAACAGGGCCTCATCTTGATCTGCTAGGCTAGTCAGCTCATGACCCTCCTATTTATGCTTCCCATATAGCGTCCCATATACTATATGACAAGTATATGCCACCAGGCGAAGCTCTTTATTAATTGGGATGAGGGTGTGCACAATTTTTGTCTGGGCTGGCCTCAGCTCCTTAGTAAGTAGGATTACAGGAATGAGCCACCATACCCAGCTATTTTCTTTTGGTAGCACTTTGGGGCTTGAATTCATGGTCTCACATTTACACTCTAACATTTGAGCTGTACCATCAGTTTATTTTTTTGTTTTTAGTTTATTTTTCAGATAGACCCACGTTTTTGCCAAGGCTGCTTTCAGATCGTAAATCTCCTACCCCTTTCTCTGCACGGTTGGGATTACAGATGTGCACTACTGTGTCCAACTTGTATATATTCAAAGTATATCTTCACAGGATAATTGCAAAGGGAAAAATACTGTCTCCACATGGGATAAACCTGGTAGATTATCACTTTATCCATGTGGTTAAACATATTTATGTCATTTGCCCTCATTTCTTTCATGTCCCTCCAGCTCTCAGTCCTTTCACATCAAACTCAGGACTCTGCTAGTTCAGCCTTCAGAACCATTAGCCTTCAGAGCCCTGTCAAATAACCTTCAAAAGTGACTTATTGCTCCCTCTACTCCACTGCCCTTGAGCTCAGACTTTTCTAACCAGCCGTCACACTGCTGTCAGTGTGTCGAAAATGATGGTTCAAGCTCATTGCTCATCATCTCCCTAAAGGGAATGTTTCAGTCAGTTCTCATCCTAGAGAATACAGAATAAAATCCTCTGCCCTGCCACTTGAGGGTCCCAATCATTTGGTTCTGTGCCAACTTCCAAGCCTTACATCCAAACAGACCATGCACATACCAGACATGGTTTTCAGACAAACCTTCCCTCTGGCTCCTAGTTTTGTGGAGACATGTCATATACTTAATGCTTATCAGTACTCTGATGAAATTCTCTTCTTCCTTCAAGGTTAGGCTCAAATGTGCCCTCTTCTGGAGCCCACTTAGTAGCTCTCTGTTGCTCTGCTCACCACTCTAGAACAAAGTCTGTCTTGATTTTGTGGCTCTTTCTCTTTTCCTCCATCGTACTGGACTTTATGAAGGTAGACTAGGCAACTTTATTATGTATTTATTTTTCATATACACACTACAGTCATTTTATGTAACGAAGCTTCCCCTTCCAGGTACCAAAAGTCCCTGTTCTGTGTTTGGCATGTGGTTATAATGAAGAAAGGTGAAAGAAGCACTGAAAACATGTCAGGTGGGGGCAAAAAAACCTGGCAGAGATCATTCTTGCAATGACTGAGAGTACTGTAGGTTCTAGACAGCAAGATGTGAGCCTCTGGTTGGGTTTATAATGAAAACAAGGGTAAGACTGAAAGGAAAAGGAAAGTATCTTAGTTTAATGATAGTTGTTGTCTGACCTCAATCTGACTTAGTTATCAGTTAAATATTATGGTTGATAATGAATGAATTACTTCCAGATATTATACATGTGACCTATATGATGCTGGTCTTAATTACAAATCCAGTACTGCTGCTTTCTTTGTAGAGTTTGGGGAAGGGAAATTTTTTTAAAAGCATGGAAGTAGATAAGAAAAAATTATTTGGAAACATTTGAATGCATGCAAAATTTTTTTTAAAAAGAAAAGCTCAGAGAATTGGGTGAGAAACTTCCATGTACCCATGAAAGAGTTAGTATTTAGTTTTGATAACAATTTCACTATACTTACATCCAACTTTTAGAAATCAGTGAAGTAGAGATAAAATTTTATTTCTGCTCTTGGGTGGTTTCTTCTCCTTTCATAGAGGCAACTTGTATGAATTCTGCATTTATATTTTGATACATACATATATATATATATATATATATATATATATATATATATACATAAAACATAGACAGGCAAATCTCAACAAATTACACACAGGATATATATCTAGTTAACAATGAATACTGTGTGTGTGTGTGTGTGTTTGTGTGTGTGTAAAAACTTCACATAATGCCATGCCTGGCATATTCTTTGCCCCTCTTATTTGACATGGTATTCTTGAGACCATATTCTAAATCTAGTTCTTCTTTTGAACTTCTCCAGAATATTGTTTCTTTAGCTATATTTTCAAGAAGGTTGTTCATTTTATCTGAACTTTCAAATGTAGGGGCATAGGTTATTTCTAATGACTTTCACTTTACCTCCCCCTTCCCCCGGCCTTCTTATTTTCCAAGACAAACAGGGAGTCTGATTCCTCTTAAAATGCATCTCACTGGCATTTGGATCCTTACTAGTGGTCAGAAGAGCACTTAATGGTTTGGAACAGGCTTAGGGATCTGCGGGGTGGGGGAATCTGTGGATTTATTGGGGGTAGAGGAGAAAAAAAACGTGAGGCACATGTGGCAATGAAAATGCAAAGAGACTGTGCAACTGAAAGGAAAATATGACAGAGAATGTCAGCGGCAATCTCTGCCTATTCTGCATGTCTGCTTTGGGTCTATATTATAGAAATAACATACAGCAATAAAAATAAAGTTCTACCAGTAGCAAAAAGGGGGAAAAGTTATAAACATGTCAATGAATGAAAGCATCCAGTTACAAGAGTATGTACAATTTCATTCCTATGTAGGCCAAAAAGTAATAAAATTATCTATGACATTGGGAAAGTGATTAAAGAAGACTTATAAATGAGGGAAGCAACAAAGGAAACTTCTCCAATGTGGATTCTGTTCTTCTACTTGACCTAGGATTCTACGGAGAGTCACATATGGAAGATTTCTAGCCTTATAATCTCTGCTAGAACGACTTAACTTTGCTGTTATAGTAGAAAAGCAGCTAAAGATGATATATGAATAGTGGGTGGGATGTTATTGTGTGTGTGTGTATGTGTGTGTGCGTGTGTGTGTGTGTGTGTGTGTGCCAATTGTGGGGCTTGAACGCTGGGCTGGGTACTGTTCCTGAGCTTTTGTGCTCAAGGCTAGTGCTATACTACTTTAAAACACAGGTTCACTTTACTTTGGCTTTTTGGTGGCTGATTGGAAATAGTAGTCTCAAAGACTTTCCCGCCTGGGTTGACTTCAAGCTATGATCCTCAGATCTCAGTACCTGGCTAAAAATATAATAATAATATATAACAATAATATATAACTCTATGTATTTTTTACTAGAAGACAGCTGAATTTGGCCTGTGGGAGTAGTTTGCCAATGCCTCATATTTATAGACTTAGTTACATTTGTGTGTAAATTTGTGAAATCTTATTATCTGCATACTTATAAATAATTTGTATAGGGCTGGGAAGGTGGCTCAGTGGTAGAGCGCTTGCCTTGCATGCATGAGGCCCTGGGTTCCATTCCTCAGCACCACATAAGCAAAAAGAAAAAAGCCGGAAGTGGCGCTGTGGCTCAAGTGGTAGAGCGCTAGCCTTGAGCTGAAGAGTTGAGAGACAGCGCCCAGGCCCAGAGTTCAGGCCCCACGACCGGACCCCCCCAAAAAAATAATTTGTATATTTTTAACCATGATGTGCTATAATTAAGGGAATTTTAATTTTAATATTAAAAATAAAACAAAGCAGGGACGCATTAAGGAAAATAAAAATAATAACAGTACACTGGGCACTGGTGACTCCTACTGGTAATCTTAACTTCTCAGGAGCCTGAGATCCAAAGATCACAGTTTGAATCCAGCCCAGCTAAGAAAGTCAGTGAGAATCTTATCTCCAATTGGCCACCAAAAAGCTGGAAATTGAGCTGTGACTCAAGTGGAAGAGTGCCAACTTGAGTAAAGTGCCAAGTGAGAGTGCAAGTCCATGAATTCAAGCCCTGGGACCAGCTCCAAAATACAAACAAATAAACAAAATCTCTGCCACAAAAGCCATCACAACCTGCTGTGATGCTTCTCAGATTTGTACAACAAAGCTAGCACAGTATATTGAATACTAACCACATAATGCTTTTTTAAAGTACTTGAAATAGCAAGATTATTACTCACTTCCTTCCTTATAAGAGAAGAATCAATTAAGAGACCTGAAAATGGTTAGTTCTCTTAATGAATTCTCTTTATTAGGTTTTATTATTAATGCTCAGATTGGTTTTGTTTCCAAGTTTTTCATTCTGCCATTCTTTAATTGAAACTCTTAAAAAAATCAACAGACACTTAGAACGTAAGCAATCTAAGAAACATTAAGTATTGATTCTGGTACTCCTTTAACTTTCATATTTGTTCAAATAAGAGTGCTGCCTTCAGAAGTAATGCATCTTTTGTGCTTGGAATCCCAGCTACTAGGGAAGTGGAGATAGGATAGTAGGTCAACGTTAGCCTGGGCATAAAAGCCATTGAAAGCAAAGAGCCTCTCTGAAAAAATAAGCTGGGCCACCTATGTACTGGTGGCTTACAACTGTAATTCTAGCTACTCAGAAGGCTGAGATCAGACAATTGCTTTTGAAAACCAGCTCTAGCAGAAAAGTTCAGGAGACTTCATTTTCAATGAGGCAGCAAAAAGCTGGGTTGGAGCTGTGGCTCAAGTAGTAGAGCACTATCTGAGCAAGCCAGTCAAGAGAGATTCTGAGGCCCCAAGTTCAAGCTTTGAAACTGGTATGCATGTGAGCGTGCACACGTGTGCAAGCACGTGCATGTGCACACACACACACACTCACACTAATGCTGGGCATAGTGGCATGTGCCTGCAATCCCAGTTACATAGGAGAAATAATGTAGGAAGAATGCAGCCTAAGGCCAGTCCCTGCCAAAAGCTTAAGACTATTTGAAAAACGACTAAGTTAAAAAATGGAGGATGAGGCTTGCATAGTAGATTTCTTGCCTAGAAAGTGCGAAGTCCCAAATTCAAATCTGAACATCACACAAAGAAGTAATATATCTTGCCTAATTATTCCTAATTCCATAGAGTTTCAACATAAGAAATACATACATATATATACATGCACACACAGAGTGTATCTAAGATGTTGTATTATCTTATCTACAAGGAATAGTGAATATGAAAATAAATAATGCCACCATTAATATCCATGCAATGAGCCAGGTAGTGTTCTAAGTCTTGCCATGCACACTAACCTTATTTAATCCACACAGAGACTCAATGCAGTGGCTATTTTTAGTATCATGAAGAAACCGAGACCAAGGACAATCATGGAACTATACAAGTCTTTAACCATTAATAAATGACAGGGCAGGGAATTGGTTTCGAGGGCCCATGCTCTTAGATTCAAACTCAGAAAAGCAGCTTGAGAGTGATTCTAGGCAAATGGAATTCCTTAGTGTGAACAGAGCAAAGGACAAACCTCCTCAGCTTCCTGACAGTTCTGTCCCGTGACAGAAGCCACTGATCCACCTTTTCCCACTGTACTTCACTGCACTTCCTCTTGGTCTCTGATTATCCCTCCACTAATCTATTCACTCTTTTAGGAAAAGGGAGATAAGATAGGGTCTTGCTACACAGCCCAGACTGGCCTGGAACTCATTAATACTGTTGTTCAGCCTTCTAAGTATTAGGATTACAGGCCTGCCTATGGATTCTGAAAACTGTGCAGTCTACTCCTTTGTAATTTTTTTTTTGGTGGTACTGGGATTTAAAAGGCTCCATGCTTGCTAGTCAGGCTCTTTACTACTTGAGCTATGCTTCTAGCTCTAAGTACAAGTTATATTTATCTTTGTGTTGAATATACTGTCTCCCTGGCATTTAACAAAATTCAGCAGATATTGGCTGAGGGAATGAATCAATTACTTCATGAGCCATAACTTTGACTAGCATACCCATTTCCTAACCTTTTTTTTTTCTTTCTGGTGGTTCAGTACAAGGGACAAGACATAATGTCACAGAGAGTCAGGAATAATCAGGCTTGGATGGAGCTTTGTAAGTAAACAATCCTCCCTTCGCATTTACCAGCGCAATCCTAGCCTCTAATCTAAAAATTTGCATGTATAACTAAGAGTAAAACAAAATATTCCCATACTCATTTCCAAGTATTCATCAAAGAGTCCGTAGGCGTTCATCGGCTGAAGATTGTAGTCTTTTTCCCACTGTGGGAAATTTACTTTCCTGTCAGGCCCGTGTTCTTGTCGGACTTTCCTTCTAGTCCACCAATTCTGAATTAACCTGTGGACAAGATTGATTCATTACACATGGGGAAAAGAAAAGTGACTGTTCATAAGACTTCAGTCACAAGAAAGAGCAGAATTGAAATTCAAAGCCATAGTTTATAGGCCTATATTTCAGGACTTTCGACTTGCAAGTAGACAGAATGTTAGAGGAACTTGTTTTAATCATTCATGAAATGATTTCACATTCAGTGTTGCCTAGACAGTTGGAGAGAAGACTGAGAACATCCATCAACTGACTTGGTACAAAGGCAACTAGTACCAGACATCTGATGATAGGCAGGCCTGGATTACATGAACCAATATAGGACCCAGGCACATGTGCATATTCTGACTTCACAAGCTTCCAAACCCACAAGATGTGTCTTCTCTTGGCCCATGGTTGCCTGTAATTATACAACTCGATCTGCCTGCTTTGAGCCTAAGCCTGGCAAGGCCTCTGACGCTGTGTAAAACCATATCACACTGGTGAGGCCAACATGTGGATCTCAGCCATGTTTAGCAATGGATTGGATCATATAGGAATGGATTAGAAAATGGGTCAGGAAGCAGTAGACCTGTGTTCCCTAGGTAACAAGGAAAAAGGAAAAAGTTAAGGGCTATCCAGCAGTTTTAGAAACAGCCCAACAATGTGCAAAATAAAGAGATGATTATCAAAGACAAATTCTGTCTTCATCCTAAGTTTGCTGAATTACTAGACGTTAAAATATAGTGCCCTTGCTGGGAGCCCGTGGTTCATGCCTGTAATTCTAGCTACTAGGGAGGCCTGAGATCTAAGGATCATGGTTTGAAGTCAACCTGGGCAGAAAAGTCCCCATGAGACTCTCTTCCCCAATTAACCGTGAGAAAACCAGAAGTGGAGCTGTGGCTCAAAGTGGTAGAGCATTAACCTTGAGCAAAGAAGCTCAGGGACAGTGCCCAGGCTCAGCTCAAGCCCCATAACTAAATGAATGAATGAATGAATAAAGAAGGAAATAAAATATAGCGCCCTTGACATCAATGGCATCTTGATTTCACTATGGTTTATGCCTTAAGGCAAAAATATCATACTACCAACCTTTTACATATTATTTACAAACTTTTATACAACATATCATATTGCAAATACTTGGAGTGAGATTTCTGAAAAGAAATTTAAGAATCGACCACTGACATGGCTTCTGATGGTGCCAAAAGCATTTCTAAGTGAGCGAGGTTCCAGGTAACCGCTCTGGTAGAGTGCGCCTCCCTGAGCCTCCAGAGGCACCAGCTGCCGTGGAAACAACAAGGTTCAGGATTCAAGTAGACAAAAGAAATGTTGCTGATTTATGTCCCCTTAAAACTAACCTGATCAAAATGCTGAAATGAGGATACAGGTTGAGCTACTATAACAATGAAATGTACAAGACACTATGTTGAAAATGAACCTTATAACTTGGGAGATGGGAAAGAAAGGGATGATACGGGAAAACAAAGGAGGAGGTAACAATGCTCCACAGGAAATGTACTCATTAGCTTACTCATGTAACTGTAACCCCTCTGTATACTATTTTTACAATTAAAAACACACACAAAAAACTAAACTGATCAGCACTGAGCAAACAACAGCAGAACTCAAGGTTATTTTTGTCATCAGCAAAAAAAAATTATGTGATCATCAAGGGATAATATTTTTACTGGTCAATATATATTGACTTAGAAACAATTTTGTTTCTTTTATGAATTTCTGATTTTTTTCACCTTTCTATAAATTCTTTTGTTCCTATAATCTGAACTTAGGGTAGTTATTTAAAATTTTCTTTTAATGATTATTCTGCTTTATCACAGAAATGGAGGAGTGGAGATTTCATTAATAAATACATATCTAGAGGTTAGCAATCCCAGAGCCCAGTGAATTAAAAGCATCATTCAAAGCAGCTTGCAAGCAAATATCCAGTATTTTGGGGCCCAGGGAGACTTCATAAAGAATATTCAATTTGATTCATGTGATGCGTGTAAAACTTTCCAATAGTTTATCATTTTTGTGGATGTCTATAGAGATAGATGCACTAGCTTAGTTGCTGAGTGTGTCTGGTTTATCTTACTTGACATATCCAGAAATGCCCATACTAAGCAGCCGATGACAGATACTGAAGGTACTTACGGGTAGCCAAGTTCCATGAAATTATTCCAGGTCTGCTTTAGCACCATTATAATACCCATTTGCATACAGAGATCAATAAGGCATCCACTAGGGTGGCACTGTAAGGTAAGTAAACACAGAAATTCAAGAAGGAACCAAAGGAAGCCAGGGTGACTGGTGCCTAATCAGCACTCAGTCACTCCAAGACTGGTGAGAGTGAGTCTCTAGGAAACAAGGAGGGAGAATACAGACCTCTTCTAGTCTCCACCGGTTTATCAGCCTCAAGTAGGCACCTGGGTGTCCTGTAAATCTTCAACACACATGGAGAAATAAGCCATTAGCGTTCTGTCGGTGGAAGCTTCCAGTGAAGGTTATTTTATATTTAGTTTAGTAACATCCTCCAAAGTAAATTTGCAGGGAAAGTTAGGTACAGGGTCGGAAGGAATGGGGAAACCTTTCAGAGCTGTCTTTACTTCCGCTTCTGTCATATATTCACCTCTTTCTGCACCTGAGTTAGGCCACTGGGTCTCATACCTGTACATGAAGGTAGCTGAAAGTAGGGGTAAACTAAAATGGGGTAACTTAAAATGAAGCACGTTCCTTTTCCCCATCTTTAGAGACGAGGGAAGGACATCTTGACAGGAAAGATGGTAGAAAGGGAAGGCCAAGGACCTTGAGGATCTCTACATGCAGCAGTTAGGAGGATGTGGGAGGGAATTCCTGTTTTATGGTACTGAGTTAAGTTAGTTGCTCTTCCTTTGTACACTGTCTACAGATGATCTAAAGGATGGGCTTCTCCATCACCCCTGGCTAGTGAACTCTCTGTATGCACTGAGGGCTGGGCCCTCACCTGGCCCTGGGGAGGGAATAGATGGGTCCAGTTCTTACCTTCCAAGGAAGAATGCAATGTAAAACGTGGAGCTGTTCAGATTGACAAACTGAAAAAGAAACATTTTCAGGGTGAAGCTGTTCTCCCATTCGGACTCTGTGCGAGGCTGTTCTGTGGAATAAAGGGGAGCAGAGGTTGAGGGGACAGATCCGACCCTCTCTACTCCTTCGCCACCTCCCTGAATACAGGGTGGGAGCAGAGGGGTCCTTAGATGGCACAGGAGACATCTTTGCCTACAGATGGCACGTGATGGAAAGGGTCACCCTGTGGATGGATCCTCTAGTACACAGAACAGCTCCAGCAAAGCGTGGGTGACAAGTGACAGCCGATATATCTGAAGGGATGGATTAACCAGATTGTGCCCTGGCTACAGAAAGCCCAGAGTGTTTGCAGCAGACACAGCCAGGATGCAGGGAGCTCATTTCTAGCCCTGGCTCTGGACCACAGCCTTGCTTGGTTTCTTTTGGTGGGCTGGGGTCTGTGTGGGGTCAGGTTCCCTCCCAACTTTGAAGCAATCCTTGGCTCCTAGTTCTAGAATTAGGCAAATCTTACAACACTAGAAGGATTTGACTCTATTACCTTTACCCTATCCACCATTTTCCTTTCTCACAAAGGTAGATGGTCTTGTCTTTAGAGCACCCCCTACAAATCTCCTTCTAGGTTGTTCAATTCCTAGACCTAAGTCAGGAACCAATTCCACATCCCATCCTATCTCAACTTCCATAAACCAAATCCTCTTTGGGTGCTGTGACGTGAATGAAAATTATGGATGGAGTTTCCCTCCAAGTCAAACCTCAAACATCAGAGGCACTTAGCTTTCCCTAGGGGCTGAATCCCTAACTCAAACCTGGTCAGAAAAAATGTATTTAATGCAGTACCATTTTCTCTGTTTCCATATTCCCAGAGTTTCTAATCATTTACTTAACATTCTACCCCATAATTCCCATTTTCCATGAACTATAACACAATGGTTTTTTGGGAGTTTATCTGAGAAGGAATTGAAAGAGAAAGAGAATCTGATGTAAAGTGGTCTATCTGTCAACTTCAGAGCAAGGCTGTACTACAGATAAGGGAAGAAGTTGTAAAGGTGTCTCATTTTTATTTCTGGGACTTGAACTTAGGGCTTTTTGCTTGCTGGACAGGTACTCTACACTTGAGCCACACTCCAACAAATGACTACTTTCTAATTGATGCTGCACCCTTTGTATCCAGGTACCTTTGTGATGCTATTTTGTGTATGTGTGTGAGGAGAAATCCTACTTAAAATGATTAGTTCATAGGGCTGAGAATATGGCTTAGTGGTAGAGTGCTTGCCTAGCATGCATGAGGTCCTAGGTTTAATTCATCAGACCATGTAAACAAAAAAAGCAAAGTAAAACAAAATAAAAAAAAACAATTATTAGTTCATGACAGATCATGTTCGTGACTGGTTTTAAAGGTCTAGTTAGAAAAGATTCTTCATGGGCTGGGAAGGTGGCTCAGTGGTAGAGCGCTTGCCTTGCATGCTCAAGGCCCTGGGTTCGATTCCTCAGCACCACATAAGCAAAAAGAAAAAAGCCGGAAGTGGCGCTGTGGCTCAAG